AACGGCCCCAAGGGCAGACCGCCACCCGCGGGTCAGGGGCGCGTCCCCCCCGGCGCGGGCACCCACGGGCCGAAAGCTTGAAATGGAGACAGGCGGAGGGTAACTGGCAAAAGCCAGGGAGGAGGAGCAAGTGCGGTAGGCAAGGGACGGACTCGGTCTGAATTTAACAAGAAAAAGATAAATTACTGGAGATGAGAGTGAGGGCTCTGGAACTTCAGACAAGAGCAGTCTTGCGAGGGACAGGGAGCTTGTCCTGTTTAACCTGGGAAGAGTACACAGAGGGGGAGTATGAGAAAATCCACTTCGTGGGGGTTTTGTCTTGAATTCAAATGATACAGAAGCTAGTAACCCTGTTTTCAAATGGTCCCACCAAAAAAAAAAAAAAAAGCATTATGAAAGTAACTTGAAGGGATCTTTGCATTTCAAAGTAAAAACAATATTAAAACTTAATCTACAATGGTGCATCATCTCAAGAAGCCTCTAGTAGAGCTGTGACTCATTTGTGGAAGAAAGAAAGGTGATTTCAAACTTGAAGCTTACCTGGGTATCCGTGATATCTGAAGAGTAATCCAGAATTCCTTTTTAAAAATGGAAAACCTAATTGGATTACTAATATGTAGCACAGCATTCCTTATATGTAATAATTCTAAATATATTAAAAAAGTAAAATCTGTTGAGACACCACGTAATTCTGCACGTTTAAAACCAATGGTGTATTTCACTATTCAACTATATACTGCAAGACCTATGGAAAATGAGGTGGCACAAAAAATTTAGTTTTACGTGAGCATTTTGACACAAACACCGAGTTTCAGTAGGTCCTATGCATATGAAGTGCATTTAGAAGAAGACAGTTTTAAACCAGAAGTGATGCCTAACCATTAACCAAATAAAACTATTTGTCATTTTAAGAAAAAAAAGAAAAAAAGAAAATGGACATACAGCTGTACCCAACTTTTCATATCATTGATACATTTGATCTATTGTTAACTATCCCTTACACTGCTTATGCTGCATGGCTGGGTACTAATTTGTAGGTTTGCATGTCTGACATCTTATGTTCCTACATAGGAAAATATACAGAATAAGCAGAAGCATGACCCTGTTGTAATATAAAAGCCAATAGCTTCTAGCTTTAAGTGTATCCCCTTTCCAAAACACTGCTCCTGGGAGTAGTTACCCAGCAACTCCATTCAGCAAAAGTATGAAAGGTCTAATGCTTCCCTCTCAGTAACAGGAAAGCATTACTAGCAGGAACTAGGATTTCAGTAAGAAACTAAACTTACTGTTTGGGGCCTTCCCCCTGTCCACATTTAGAGCCACAATCATCTAGCTAGATGGTTATTTTTAGTGCAAGCTCCTGTTTAAAGAGAAGGGAGAGGGAAACGGCCAAAATTAGAAAGACCAAATCAGTATTTGGACAGGTTAAATATGCCAACAAAAAGAGTCTCTTATCAAATCAACAGTAATAGAAAAAATATGTAATTCTTGGTGATGGATCTTACTTGTTCATGGTTTCCCATTTCTTTTCAGAGCATACTAATGATACTTTACATTTTGTACTCACACATTCCAAATAACTCTGAATGGCAGTTACGCAGAACGGTTATCAGGAGGCTAAGGGCACATGTCAGGTTAAGGTGTAAAGCCTCCACACTAAAGTCCAGATCAATGACTACAGTATCCAGTCCTGTTGCATAAATATTGATATTTTCCCCCCTCTATGCACTATGTGTAACTTCTGAAGTACGTTTCCATCACAGAACGGATCAGATCATACGATGGCACGCTGCTCTGAATGCCCAGTGGCAGCATACGTACTTTGCTAATGGCTCTCAGTCTCAGTATACTCTTCATCTGCACATTCACTAACCTAACACACACAGTGTGTATTAAATTGCACAGACAGGAAAATGTTGTAATGTTGGCAAGAAAAGCCTTTTTCTGACACAAATTTTCCAAGTTTATCTTGAAATAATTCTGTTATTTGGATGCTGAAAGAAACAGTTAGCAAAGGAAAGTTACCCCCCAGCATCACAGACACAAAATACATTCTGTTATCACAGAGAAGTTAATAACACTAATTTAAGAGGTAAACACTAGAAGTGTTTGTAAAGCAACACTGTGCATTCTGAAGGAGGAAAATTTGTTGAAGTACTTGCATAAGCCAAGCCAGAGATGCTGTAGTGAACATACCTTCCTCCTTCCACTACTGAAGAAAACTTCAGCTTCCACCAAATTAATTTTTTTAATATCTCACAACTGCTTCTAAGTACTTATTTACCTGGATATTTAACACTCCAGCTTAAATTTTAGATGTCTTCCTCACCCAGATGCCTTCAGTCTCCTTAGGAAAGGAAGAGGGCTGGGCAGTGCTGGGTTAATGGTTGGACTCCATGATCTTAAAGGTCTTTTTAACCTAAATGATTTAGTACAAGCTTACGTCCAATGCATAAATAACACAACAGATGAATACACTGCTTTAGGGTAGAAGAAAATAAGCTGAAGTTTCACAACTTGAGCTTTCACCGAAGAATCTCAACAAGGACATTAGGCAATCTGTCACACAGTGGCATTACAACGCACTTGTTGCATTTGGCTTGTTTAACTAATGATAATGACAGCGAGAATGCCATATTAGCAGGACAAATAGAACTCAGGAACTTGACTCTCCCTCTTCTCTGTATTTACTACAAACAGAGCATGTTTTGAATTTATTTGGAATTTGGAGTATTTTTGGTAAATGCTGATGCAAAACTCTATGGGGAGAATGGGGAAGTAATTTCTTCGGGTAATGTCAAGTTGCAGGGAAAAAAAGAGGAAGGTTGCAGCATGTAAGCATAGAAAACAAAACATTCTCATGCAAACTCAAGCACAACATAAAAGTAACATCAGAGCATTGCACTTCAAGTTAAAAAAAGAACATTTGGTGGTGTGTCTTACAGGGATGAGAAAGAACATTCTGGGATCACATCTGCATTTGCAAGCTTCCCGTCACCTGACAAAGCACGAGGTAGTTTTAAGAAAACCCACCCCTAATTTTTGAACACTTGTTAATTCAGAAAGCAGTGTTAAATATAATTGCATGCTGCACAAGACTCCAAAAGAATGTCAGCCCTTAGATCAAATATATACATTTTAATATCTGAAATATTTACATGGTGGAACCTTTACACGATCCCATTTGTTAAGAACAGTGTTTTCAAGTGTCCTCTCCAGATACAAAGAACTAGTAACTCAAGGTCACAGTTATGTTTTCTGAACAGGTCAACCTGTATCCTTCAGTTAAATACAACAGAGATACTGGAACACCTTTACTTAATTTGTTTGCTATTAAGAATTATGTTTAAAAATTAAAAATGTTTGAGACAGTTTGCTCCCTGGAACACAGTCCTCCTGCAATTGAAACAGCTCACAGTACATTATCAATTTGTCTTCTTACCCAGGTATGAGATAAAAAATGCAGTTTACAGTACATCTCATCATTTATACCATATCGGCCTGCTTATAAAAACCCATACAAACAAGGCAGGAAAATATCACCCTCTTTTTGTGGACAACAGACTGCTCACAGTAGAAAACAAAAGTCGGGGCTAGTTCAACAGTATGGATAAAAACAAAAGTTTGGCTTTGCTTGAAAACCTGTGATTTAGTTTTTTGTCAACTGCTATGGTCAAGTTACATCCAAACAGCTTTTTTTTTCTAAATACTAAAAAAAGTATTAAAAAATAATTTCTTTAAAAAAAAAAATCCATCTGATTATTTTGAAGACAGAAGAGATAATAGGGAAGGGCTAAAATTAAATTGATAGCACTTATTGAATTGAGGTCCTGCTCTTGTTTTAACTGAGCAAAGAATAAAAAGCTTCCTGCAATTTGCACTTCCTAGGAAAGAAGCAGAGCATCTGCAGGAAATAAAGTTCCCAGCTTCATCAGTAATTCTAAATGGACAACAAAGTACCAAGACTACTGCTGGTTCGTATCAGAATGAAAAGTCTGAGGGAACTCCTTTTCCAGAGTCAGATGAGGGGACTAAATGAACACAGAAAGCTGTTCTATGAAAGCAGTTCAAGCCACTTACTTTCAAATTATATTCTGATCATTGCTTAAATAAAAAGAGGGAGAGTATGGGAAAAAAAAAAAGAGCACTGATCAATTTGCAGTAAAATAATTTGTCTTCAGCTGTAACTGAAATAGTTCCACATTAAGTGCAAATGTTTTGCAAAACAGGGGCTTTTTTTTTTTTTAATATTTACAAGAATCAGAGTAACATCATAAAATTACCAGAGAGTGTGTACAGTAGCTGCAGCTTATAAAACATACCGGTAATTGTACCTTGTGAATTATAAAGAGAACCAATGCAGGATCCAGATAACTGAGAAGCGTAAAGGGGGCCTCAGAGCAGAGGACAAAAAAATTCACATTTTCTACATAAAAAAATACAGGTCTCAAGTCTCTGAGAACAGAGGAAATTCAAAGTCTTTGAATGATGGGGGGGGGAAAAAAAGCCCAGAATTGAAATGGAACCCTAGAAGCAAGGAGAGTGCTTTATTTCACTAGACCAATCTTCTTTGCTTCTGTCTCGTATATCAACAACCTCCACATTTTGACTATGAAAACTTCAGCTTCTTCATCTAGTACCTGTAGGAAATATACATTTTATAGATTATTTTTTAGGTTAGGCATTTCAATTATAAAGACTAATTCTAGACACATCAGAACTGCAAAGTGGAGGTAGTGTAATCCAAGTTAAAGCTTTGAGCGGGGAAAACTTCGGTGAATTTGTCTGTCCAGCATTTACCACCTGACTTGACTAGGCTCTAATTATATACTTGTATAATACAGCTGTTGAGCACAAAGAGATACAAGTACCAGTATCCTAGTCTCCAAAAGTGGCTTGGGAAAAGGCTGAGAAATGGCAGGCTTGGGAAGAATGTAAGAACAGGACATACATGTGGTATTTTCCCTTAATTCTCTTCTAGTCTCTACTCATTTTCAGCTTGGAACTTCCTTGGATATTTATTTAGTCATCCCTTGATGGATTTCTCTTCCCCGAGTTATCATCAAAGCTGTTCTTGAATCCATGTAAACATTTAGCATGCCCAACGTCTCTCAGGAAGCTTCCTAGGCCACCTACTAATCACACCAAGAAAAACCTACTAACTTCTGCTATAAATCTGGTTCCTACCTACTTTGCCTCCAAGTTTCCTTATTGGAAGAGAGTGAAAAATTAGTTTTTATTCACCTTCCAGTGTTTGAAATCATTGCGACACAACAGCATTATTTCATGAAGTTTCTCTTTTCCAAAACCAGGCAAAAAAAGTTTTTACTCGTTAATTAGGAATAAGCCCACTAAACCACTAATTATAAAAATCTAGTTACAAGATTGGGAAGGAATAAAAGTTTATATTTCTGATACAGTTCTGTTATTGTTGATTCTTACTTCTACTGTTACAGGGACAGATTATTCCACATTTCTGAATACTGAGAAATTCTGAACAGTAATTTCTACCTAGATGCTGTAACTGCACAATCATGCCTGTGCTAGCATGATCTGTTTAATCAAAATAGCTTTCATACCCAATGCATGTTTTCTATGCATGCTCTATGAACACCAAATATTTATGTTACGGACTCCTGCTGTTTCACACAATTGACTATTAGCTTCAGCATAATGTAGAAGGCGTATCAGTTGTGCTTACCATGGCAACATCGTCCAGTATGCTCTGTGGCGAGCTGTGAGCCATAACCTGAGAGAAACAAATGTTTTTAGACTGAAAACTTGGAGTAAACCATAAAAACATGTTTGAACAACAACCAGTTACTTCTCAAGGATTTTGAATGCTTTGCACATGCAAAAAGTATTTCCCGTTCATAAGTTCCCAGTATTAAGCCAAAGCAAAAATGGGCATTAAACTACATCAGATTCCATCATACTCCAACCATAAAACTATCAGTTAAACAGCTGCTCTCGTCAACTGCTCATTTCTTCAATTCAGTTCCATATGTTTATCCAACAGATAACAGAGAGCATCTAGCACATACATATTGTGCACAAGCATTAAATTAAGTAACTTGTAGAACATTAAGGTACATATTGATTCCAAGTACACCAACTGTCTCTACTGACCAATATCATGGATTACAGAGAAGCCAAGAACAGACTGCCTTCAAATAGATACCACAGTTGCTGCTGCAGCTTCAACAGGGAGCAAAACCCAGACTTCAAAGGAAGTGGAAGATACTAACCTTAGAACAAACAAAGTCAACTAGCGTGGCTTCTTCTTCACCAATATATTCTATTATTTTCTTGTTGATCCATGGTCTAATTCGACGTTCCATTAGTGTCTGGAAAAAGAAGAAAAAAAAACAAAACCAAACCTTATGATTTCCACAAACTTTACTGTCTTGAAACAATACTGCCAGACAGGCAGCTAGAATACCCAAAAAACTATTCAGCAAAAGATGCATTTTGCTATCAATGAGATAAACCTTAGCCATTTGGCACCTGCAAGTATTTCTGACAGCCATTCCAATGTGTTTACAGGATCTTTTTTCCCCCTTCTGTAAAACTGCTAGACAATTTGTAGCAACAATTCAAGAGAGACCAAATAAAAATAAGCAGGCGTACTTCCATATGTAAGTGTTACATATGGACAAGAAATACAGTACTCAAGTTTGATTCCATTTGATGATGAAATCCACCGAGGTCCCAGGAACATTGTTTTTTTATTCAATTCCAAGGTTTGTTTGGAAAAAAATAGGCTTGAAAGAAATCAACTTACTGAATCCACAATTGACCAGTCAAGAGGATAAGCAAAGAGCTCTGGTTTTGCTGTGGGAATCTTCTCAATAAGACTCTTAATATGTTTGCGTTTTTCTTCTGTATTGACACTGCCTTTGATATTGCTTTTATCTTCGTCTCCATAATCCAGGGGGACAAGTTTCCTTTTCCGGGGCACATCATCACTGTCTTCGTCATCAAATTTATTGAAAACACTATCCACAGCAAGCTTCTTCCTTTTTACAGCATTGGGCTGATTAGGACTATTGCAGGCACCTACAACCCAAAAGACAGAATAACATATTCATAAACTGCAACTGAAGCTAGTTTGCTCTTCACGCATATTCTTCTAGAATATCAGTTTTTATGTTATATAACTGTCTGTGAATGCCTAGCATCAGCACTTTAATCTCTCAAGCTCTGTTATAAAAACGGCAAAAGAAGATCTCATGTTCAAGATTTTTGAAAAATAGGGTTTCCTTCTCTGCCCTGAGACCAACTAGCACCCTCACTGAGGGAGGACTATGGCATGAGTTCAAACCTTAGCAGAGGCAGAGCACAGAACTGAAACGCTGCAATGAATCTAGCTGTAGGAAAAGTGTTAATCAGTTAGCCTAATACCATACAGTTTCTCTTCATTCAAGATCTAACACTGTGTGAGCTCAAACTGCAGCCCCAGTATAATTTAATCAAAATAATAAATAATAAATACACAAACCTTCTGGAATATACATATCCTTAGTTCTGCTCCTCAGAACAAAATTTTTTTAAAACACCAGAAATCGCTAAAGTACTAAGGAACCCTACACTCGTGTTCCATTTGCAGTTGTAATCAATTCACTGTGCTACTCTAAGAGGAAGAAAAATAATCTAACTTTTGGTTTTCTTCTTTTAAAAGGGTCTTTGTGAACAAACATAAGAAGTATCTAGGGCTTAAATCTAACACATACTTCCACCAATAAAAAGTAGCAGTGAGTTTTAATAGAGATATTTAGAGATCTGTTACGGTGAAAAAGTACATGGAAATACCAGCTCAGAGCATTCCTAAAACAATTAAGCTTTGAGGATGCCAAAACTTCCCTTCCTTTTTCCCCCTCCAGATTTTGGAAGAAGAGACATCTATAAAAAGTATCTTCTGGATGGCAGAAATCAAGCACAGCATCTGGATAACAACAACTTGATATGTACGTCAAAACATGTAATATATTTATAACACTGTGTGGCTACTCAGCTTGTCTTTTTTTTTTTTCATTCTGATCCCATATGGAACATTAAAATAAAATGTAAACTTGCCCAATTTGAGGCTAAGCCCTATTTTGGGCCGATGCTCCTCCGGCTGCTGTTGATCAGGTGAATTTTCATGAGGGATAATAATGCCACAGGGAGATTCATCACCAGGTGTGTTAGGAGTTGCATTTCCACTAGCAGAAGAAACAGATGGGGCAGAACTGATGGGTCGTAAAGTTGGTTTAAGGCAGGGCTTTTGTTCAGGCTCCTCCTCCTCTTCCTCTGGCTCTTCTCTTTTTTCTTCTTTTTCTGCCTTTTCTTCCTCTTCCTCCTCAGATTCTGGCTCTTGTTTTATTTGTGGCTGCCTACGCCGCTCAGCTTCCTGCTCCATCTACAATGAAACAGACAAGTAGCAAAAAAAATAAGCTTTCTCAAAACCAGCACTGTTTGAAAAGAATCTAAAGATCCTCTGTTTCCTAAAGAAGTCTCTGTTAATCTCTGTTAATAGATGCAACTACTGCCATTAGAATCAGAAATACTGATTAATCCAAATTTGTTTTTGAACTCCATCTGAAAATAGATCTGGAAAGTTATTTTTTGTTTCCAGTGTTCTTACTGCTTATCTGGACTTCTTTTTAAGAAAAAGTGAACAGAGCAAATATTAACCAATCGGATCTCTTGCACAATTTTGCTCAATATTACCAGAATACCAAGGGCTCTTTTTTTCCTGTCAGACCAATAGCTACTTACCCTCTGGAGCTCTGCGTCTGGATCTGGGTGTCCTTCTGCCAGAAGGCGCTGCCTAATTTCTTCCAGTTCTTCCTTTTCCCTTTTCCTATCCCGTTCGTCTGCTTCCATTTCTTTCTCCCTGTCTCGTAGCCTTTTCTGAAGAGCACTGCCCCTACAAAGATATGGATTTTGTACTTCAAAGAATGTTCCAATGAGAACCTTTCACCACAATACAAGAAATACCTGATACAGATGTATCTTCCACTAACTGACAATAAGATTCATAAGACCGTCTGGTGTCCTCTATTTTTGTAACAGAAGAATCTAAGATAACCACTTCCTTACGTTACTGTACAGAATTTACCCCATCACATTAAACAGGCATAGAGAATGGGACTACTGATCTTTTTAGAAATATAATAATTTTATAGGTTTTTACTTAAGAAGCCATTCTGCTAAATTAGTTTGATGCAAATTTTAGTTAGTCCCATGCTGAAGGATCTTCCCCATCCTTTGCAGAGTTAACAAGCTTATTCTACGTACAATTTACAGCTTGCTTGTAGTGAATTTTCTGAGAGGCTTGCTTGACCTCTTCTCTCTGCCCCCATCACCTTATTTTGGCATTACACTGACCTCTGCTCTGCCTCACCCACAAGTCAAATCATAGAAATGAGCAGCTACTCCCAAGCATTAACAAGTAGCAGTAATGAGTTTCCCTTTTCCCTCTGGCACTTATCAAGTGACATTGAAATAATTTAGGTAATTATATGACCCCTGCATTGTCACATAACCACTCAACTATAACCTCCACAAGCCTCTGCCAACAAACCCCACAACTGTGTTAAAACTAACAGTGAAGATTTTATTGTTAAGAAAGACATACCTGTAGTATTTTGGATCATCTCTGTCATCATCATAATCTTCTAAGAACTCTTTTAACCGTTTTGCTTCTTTTGCCTGCAAGAAATTGAAACATAAATAATGTTATAGAAGGAGTTTGGTTTTCTTACCAAGAGTTTAAAATTCAGTAATACTATAAGTTAATTTACTATTTCCTATGCTTCCAACTAAAAATACAGAGTTTTCCAGACACAAAATGGAAAGGTTTTAGAATTGCACTGTCTTCCAGGGATCTGTCAACGTGCTATCATATGTTCTGTAGCAGACAGTACATCCATTAGGTCCCCTGGGATCATGTCTGATTTGCAGATTATTGTTCTGTTATTAGCATTTCACAGGGTTTTTAAACATACTCCTCCCCCCCTCCCCCCTTTTTTTTTACATGATAGAAGAGGATCAAAGTTACTATTCTTCAGATCTGTAAGTCTAGTATTGGATATTTTAACATAGCTTAAGTGTATTTTATCAGTACTGTTTTGTTTCAAGAGCTGTGCTTTTTAAAAAAGATTTAGTTATGCACAGAAACAAATCTAATAGATACTTCTCGGATAAGCACTCTCCTGCTGCACTGCTAATCCAAACCATGTGGCACTGTATTAATGCACAGGCCTAAAACTGAAGGGGGCAAGGGGGACACAGAAGAGGTATTTTTTCCCCTTCTAATAAAATGGAAAAACAAACAAAACCCCTCAAAAAACCCAGTTCTTTAAGGAGAATATAAATTAGGACATTCTAACATGTATCCAAGCAATATCTTTAAACCAACAGTAAGATACTTCTATGCTAATGATTTCGAGAAACCAATTATGATTACGGTTGTAAATTCAGCACAAAATTTAATGCTGCTCTCTACAACCGCCATCCATAGCCAGCATCCAGGAGAATTATGAACAGAAAATATCCTTGAGTCATTTGCAAACATTTTTTCCCCTCTCAAGCATTTAGGGGGAAAAAATAAGACTCCACGTAAAACAATGTATTTTCCAATTTTTTTTCTTTGTGTCTCTTTGCATATTTTGGTTTGAAGCAATTCCCAATCCATCTGCTTCTTAAAACTCTCTCATATCTTCTCTCCTTCTCTGGGAGAATTATGAAGTGAAATAAACCTACCATAATTTAAAATAACTTCTTTACTCTTTAGCACAAAACTATAAGATTACAGAAGTATCTCTCTTCCAAAGGTGTATTTTCAGACAAAACTTCCAAGCATTACATTGATAACTTTAATAATTTTACAACTAAAGACAGAAATTTGCAAAGTGCTTAGATATATTATAGAATAGTATATTATATATTATAGAAGGTTCAGGCACATGAGCAGGTTGGAAGCAAAAAGACTGCTCTAGTTCCACCTGCATGACACAGAACAAAGTAGGTTTTGCTGCAAATCTGACACAAGTACAGGTTACAGATGTAATAGTGCATAATGATCAAACCACAGTATTTTGCAGCTGCCTAATTCTCATTCTTCTGCCTCCACAAGACCAAGCCACTAGGCTTTGTTTTCCAGACTCTCAATAGTACTCCCTCTTCCTAGACATCTTCTGTTTCAAGTCTATTAACTACTTTTATTTTGTTTATACAAAACGAGAGCTCTATCACTATCCATAAAGATAGCAGTAGAATGTTCCGTTCTAAATGGGACACAAAGAACAAGGGGGGAAAAAATACAAGAAAAACTATAAGCGTTACCATTTCCCTTCTTCTTTCTTCTTCCCTTTCAGCCTCTTTTTCATACTCTCGGCTTTTCTTCCGTTCTCTGATTTCCCAGTTTTTAAGACGCTACAACAGAAGAAAAAACACACACTCCAATCTCAAGAACGTTAAGAACAGCGGCACTACTTTGAAGTTAGTTTGGACTATTGTTTTAAAACCAACTGCATTAAAATTAAGCAAATTATTTCTTTATAATTTAAAACGCCATAATAAGAAGCCCAAAGTTGTTCTGACAGACTTATACATTCTGCCCCAATTCTTGTAGTCAAAGGATTAAAAATGTATGTAGGAAAAGAAGAGGGAGAAGGAATTATGTATTTTATAGTATATAAA